AACCGCACTGTCTTACCATTTTGTGCAGTGCTTTAATTCATCATCAGTAACATTAATTCCTTTAGAAATAGGCAGCTTCATAGTGCTAAGAAAAAGCTTTCATCTAGCAGTCTGCTTTTATCATGGCTTCCCCTGAACAGGCTCCAGCAATGTACATGGCATTTTTCTTATGGATGGAAAATGTGAATTCACTGGTCCTTAAAGAATTTCAGGTTTAAATGCTGACAGGTAGAACTGCAAAGCAGCACAGCAGACAGAAAAGCAAAACTTCTACTTGAGCTTATTGTGCTTGTTGCACCTGAACAGGAAATTTTCTGCAACGTTGCAAATTCTTGAGCTGATGTAGTAGTTAATGCCAGTGTTCAGATTAGGAAGAAATGGTCTTGACGTTTTAGCTAGAGAAAGGACTTGTATCAATGTCCAAGATGCAGAAAGCAGCTCTGGTTGCTGCTCCTTCCACCCCCAACAATCTGCTGCTTACAAGAAGATTTATGAACTCTTTTCAGACTGCTTGGAAAAGAGATGGTTTTTACAAGACCTTTCCTGAAAGAAGCAGGATGCTGCATTTAAAAGCATGGTTTGAAGACTGACTGACCATAAAACCACATGCCTGACAACAGACTGGACATAACACAGGAAGAAGGCTAAGAAACACAGGCATACTTGGAATTGTCATTTGCTCTAAAGGTCAAATTACTCCAATGCTCATCAATCCAATTCACCTCGCAAAAGACTACATATTTAGGGTAACCACCTACTGTGGAAGTCAGAGACACATCTTTATTTCAGACAATACTATTCTTTATGTTAAAAAAACCAAACCAAACCAAACCTCATACAACACCAAAACCCCTTTTTTCGGTGGTAAGCCCAAAATGGAAAGAATTCTGATTTACAGATATGCTTTCCTTCTGTCCTTTCACAGAAACATAGTTACCATGTATCAAACGCAAAGGCATATCATTTTCAGTTCTGCAATTTCAGGGTATCTCCTGGAGAAGATGTGCTGCTGTGCTAGATAAGGGAGAAACAGACCACACAGACTGAAGTTTCATAGAGAACATTAGATCTTTTGTTGTCACTTCACGTGTGGCCTTTGGTCATTTTGTTAATAACAAGAGTCACTTTAACTACTGAGAGTCAACTTCAAATTTGGAAGTCAATACAAATTCAGCACTACACAGTAACAGTATGATTTTAGCATCAATCCTGACATAGATACGGGGTTTTCTTTCACGCCTTCTTTGGGAGCCTGAGTTAAACCACTGTGGGCAGACACGTATGTGTATCACAGTAATGATATCAACAATTTAGAGTAAGCAAAGGTGTTTCTGCTGTGAGCTTTTTTGAGTATTTTGTCCCAATCTGAGACGACCACCTGAAACACAGCCCCTGGTGCAGGGCTGATTCATATACAACAGCCGAAGGGCAGGGAAAGGGAGATGAGCTCTGCAGGCAAATCGTCTTGGTAAACATGAATGAATGAAGACTCAGTCCTGCAAAGTATTAGCATTCATACATGGCTCTGAGCTCTTAAACTCTCACTAGGTGAATGCAAATTTGGTGGTTTATGATCATTCCATTTAAAAACATGTCTACAGTGGAAAATTACTACCCAAAGATCAAAGATGTGAATTACATTGCACGGTAGGATGTGATAACTCTCTTTAGGCCTCTGAAGGCTCCTGTTGAAGTTGAGGATACATTCTTTTTCTACACTCTAATTCTTTGTTCCAGCAAGGTAATTAACTGTAATTCTTGTTCTTGCTTCATATTCTTAAGACCTCTTTCCCAGGACTCTTGCTTAAGTCAGTATATTTGCTTTTTAAGAGAAGAGCAGAGTTGACACAATGAGCTGGAGAACTGCCGAGATAATAGAGAAGGGAAATGAGAATCAAGATACTGAATGGGTCAGAAAGTTGACATACTACAACAGGAAATAGAAAACAGAGGAAAACAGATGAGGAAACTAAGTAATACCTATTGAAACAAACTATGGGACTCTGATTTATTTCTTTCCTTAGCAGTCAAGTGCTGGAAAGACTATGCTGTTTTTCCACTTGTCAGATGAGTTCAGACAGCTGGCAGGCAATGATAAGGAGACCACCTTTCCCAAGACTGGTCTAATGGTTTCCAAACTGTTCATCAGTGGTCAGTAAGGCAACAGTAAGTGGACTGAAAACAGTCCACAGACAATGTTTTAGTTAAAAACTAGATAATTAAGGTATCTGATAGTCTGGGAGAAATTGAGAGGGCTGACAGTGATTCACAGATTTCCTGGACCAATGGACAACTGCTACACATTCTCACCTTCGCTCTATTCAGGCTATTAATATTGTCTACAGTCCAGAGTAAACATAAGGTGTGGGTAAGTCAGAGATTTTAAATTAAAACATTGAATCATTTAGTTGTAATAATCCACAATCTATTCACTCTATGATGGCATGCTGCAAATTATTGACTTCGACTCTGAGGATACAGAAACGCAAGACAGATGGCTCTAGTTACATCACCTGATCTTTCCTTTCTCTTTAAAACTCTACCAAAATAAATTCAGCTATCAGCAGCCTTTCTCCTTACTATTTATTGTGGGTTAATGCAACCATAATGCAATCTGAAAAACAGAGTTTGCCCTTCAATCTCCTTTCCATAGGTTAGATACCAGTGTAAAAGATACACTACCCATCAAATAGAAATTTGGGAGATTTGTCAAGAGCCTTTTACCCAAAATCCTGTACATTACAGTTCAATATAGCGCACATTTTAACTAACGATTAACAAGTCAAGCAGGTTTTGCAAAGAGACAAAAAGATTTATGATTTTCAGGAACAAAATATAAGTATGCTCCTCTGATTCTAAAATTCAAACCCCAATAAATATAGACAGTATTACAGAATGATGTATTAACACCCCAATTAAAATCTGGTATTAGCACATATAAATAGGAAACATACCAAGTTTAAATTATTTTTCTTTCCCTGTAACAAACTATCTAGGAGTGCATATATTCATAAAGCTATTTATGATAGTTATTGTAAAATTATTTCCATGAAATAACTTGCTTCAGACTGACATTTAATCAGGTTTAAAAAAAAAGGGAGGTTTTTGACAAAGTCCAATATAAATTAAAACCACTTTCCTTGTATTACACTTTCAGAAAAGCACTTCCAGAATTTTATTGGATGATCAACGTAAAAATTCAGCCTTGGACTGCTGAACAACTACTGGAAAATGAAAATTGGCATTAAATAAGACCATTAAGAGCTATATATCACTGTACCTCCATGGTTCTCAAATTAGGATCAACTCTAAGAATTGAAATGAATCAGTCTAACGGAGAGTAAGGGGAGACAGATGCAAGCTAAAACCACAGCTACATGTGTACTGATTTGATGTCTCCAATCCCTGGCTCTTTCAATATCAGGTATTGCATCTTCCATTTTTTAGAAGCCTATGGTATTTCCTTAGTGCATAGCTTTGTTAAAACTCAGGGGCATATCCACACCATTAAAGACTCATAGTATTTGAGTGAAATTGCAGTGTTTTGAGAAATTTTGAGAAAATCTGAAACAACAAAAAATGTAACTATTGATTCAATGGCCGTATTTCATTCAACACACTGCTGCTTTGTGAAAAAAGCTCCTTATTGTACAAGCCCTCAATCTACCCACATATTATTTATAGATAGTGCTTGATAAAGAGTATTATTACCGTTGGTTCCTCACCACCTGTGACAGTTGAAGAACGAGCTCTCCTAGATGGACCACTCTGCTGTTAAATGATAATTAATGTTACAGATAAGTACATTTAGTGATGAAGGTCACAGATTACTGTCACATCTTTAGGAGTAAGGAATCACAGACACTTGAATTTCTTACAAGAGAGCAATTAGATGGAAGTAAGGTTTAAGATAATAGCAAAAAACCTGAGTCATCAATCACTGATAACCAAGACAGAAACTCATACAAAAACCACCAAGGGAACTAATTTCAAGAGTTCTTGTATCCAATTCTAAACGTTCAGCATCGCTAATGATAATAAGAACATTTATTCTAAATGAAACATGATTATTATCCCCCCCCCAACAAATTTTGCATGTTCTGCCCATAAATATAGTATTTAAGAGCAAAATGGATACATTCTGGTCATCAATGAGTGCACAGAAGTCAGATGAAAAAGATGGAACTGATACTTGAAACTGTGAATTTTCAGTAAGGATTAATACAGTCAAGAGCAACACTGTATTTAGAAAGAAAGTATTATTTAGTTGCTAGAAGATAAACTATGATTGGCTCAGTAAGGATTAAAGATGGTTAAGATCAGGTTTTAGAGCAATGCTTTAAATTCTGCTGTTTTGAACATCTGCTAGTGAAATGAGTGTTCTACATAATACAGTGAAAGACATATCCTCAATCCCAGTCTGACTACACCAGTTAAAGAAGCCCAGACTCCATAAAGTGATATTAAATCAAGAAGCAGAACATCTCTGGAACAGACTGCATTTGGACTCATTTTGTCTAGGAGAGAGAGAGAGGACAGTGAAGGTGTAACTGTACTGGAAACCACACCATTGTTTAACCGGAAGAGAAAGTAAAGAGAGGGATACTAGTTCAGAAGCAGTTCTTTGAACAACAGCTATTACATGCATCTGCAAGCAGCAAATGTAGAAACACTGAACAACTCCTAGAACACGTGAAAAAATGAAACTGAAAAACACTATCGTTATTGTAAATGTCTGCCCAATAGCAGTAGAAAGAATAAGCAAAGGAGACATCAACTTTAACAGCAAACTTATTGATATATCTATTTACTCAATATTTCTATTAAAAAGACACAAATTTGCTATTTGTAGATTCATATGTAATATATTTCTCATAAAAAATTGGGGGGGGAATCTTGGATGAAAAGTATAATTTTTCAAAATATTAAATTATTTTGAAAATCTGACCAGTTTTATTCAAAAGCACATCTTGCACAATCCTGTTTTAAGTAGTCTCTCTACAGCCTACCGCCTTTGCAATCCTCATACGCGGGTTGTAGGACAAAACATGTAGAGCTTTCTATCAATTAGATCAAAGGCATGCATGATGTGAAAGAGAATCTTTTTTTCAAAACCACCTTTGTATCTTTTCCTCTTTGAAGAATCTCCTAAAATAAAATAGCAGAAGCAGCTGCTTACCTAAATCACTCAGGTTAAAAAACTACCACAGATGCGATTCTATTCAGTTCTATCATGCAAGGACTATCACAAAAAGGCTCCTTTCAACTATGACTAGGTAATAATAATAACGCCAATCCTTTTTAATGTTACACAGATTTATATATTCCAAGTAGAATCAATTTATGGGACACAGAAATACACCTGATAGGAGAGTCCTGTGGCTGCTACAGTTCCAAGTGTAGATAGTGCTACTGCCCTCTCCTACACCAGCTGAAAACACCCCTTGGAGGATTTTCTCTCTCCACTGACTATATAGCCTAGTAAACTAAATTTCTATGTTAGATAACTAAAGTTAGTGTACTATGCTGTCAGTCTCAAAATGTTTTTCTCTCTCGTGAATGTCCTCATTTTAGTAGCTGACCATGATGGTATTAATTTGGTATCCATTACAATTTGGGATAGTCACATGCCCATACTGGTTACCAATCTGTTTCTGACTACAACTGGCCTACGATATTACTGAGAATCAGAGAATGTTCAAACAAAAAGAAAGCAATAGAAGTTAGCTTTGGTTTACCAAGGATAATTGACACTGTTCAGCAACGGTGTCTGTTACACTGCAAGACCTTAATCTTGAAGAAGGATCTCTTTGCTGGAAAAAAAAAAAAAAGAAAATGTCTTTAAGTTAAGGTGTCTTAAAAACATGGTGCTTTATTCAGTAATTTTACTTTTCTCCCATTTAATCCAAACCCCTAAAAAAATCATATTTATGTTACAGCGTCTTTAGTTTTAATACTTCTACAGAAACGTGGCAAGCAATGAAAAATCTGAATTCACAGCATTCCATCCTGGGCTGTTTCAGATTAACTGAGAAAAGTACTTGGATACACATCTTGTACTCATCTTTAACATCCAAGCTACAATGTTTTAGTAACTTAATCTAAGAGAAGAGGATAGGCCATCCCATCTGGGAAAATATGCAGGAAATTAACAGTTGTGGAATCAGCACTAAAGGGGAAGATTAACTAAAGACATAATGGAATGTGAAAATGCCATGGAACTTTTGAAAAACTATTTTCAAATATCTTTGGAAGACATCTTAGAGAACCTGGAGGGAACATAAGCGGAATAAGGAAAACGTAAAACTTCTGGCTGAATATTGCCAAGGTAGTCTTTGGAAAAATCAACAGGCTACAGGTAACCAATGTCTGCACATGGTTTACTGCACCAGTTAACACCTGTATTTGTTACTCGCACAGATGCCCATTCCACACGGGGAATGATTACATGGTTCTCGTGTCCACGACATCCTGAGCCTGTGGCTGGGAAAGCAGCAAGTCCTGCAGAGCTTTCACTGGGATTACAGCCACAGCGGGAGCCTTGCTGAGATCATCCATTGGCATATTAAGAAATTTCCAAATTTGCATCTTAGTACACGATGCTTAGCTTACTCTTCAATAATAACATAAGAACAGCTTTAAAGCGTACTGTTTAACAAATGGCAGAGAAATGCTCACAAGTTTGCTGGTATATACAATTTCTCTGTTGACAGTGACCCTTCGTATATATTATAAAATAAAAAAAAGGGCTCATTACATTAAAGGAGAAATGTAAATTTGAACAAATTCTGATGGAAAAGAAATGTGATTTCTTTCCCTCTACTAATATAAAAGCAGTGGCAGAATGCAGCAGTATTACCCCAGGCCAAAATACTACCTTTTCTGGATATTAATGGTATGAATGTAAACACACTAACAAACAAGCAAATGACCTAGCCTATTTATAACCACTCACATGTACCACTGAAAGATAATGAAGCAACACCATGAAGCAAACTATTTGAGAGGCATATCAAAAACCCTAACTCTTTCTTGAAAACATCAGTCCTAAGATCACATTCTGTTAAAAGATCAGTGTCTAAAAAAATATAGAAAAAAAGATGTAATTACACCTTGCTTCTATGTTATGCTAAAGATTAATGTGAAAGGATTTGTCTGACAAATGTATTGACCAGCAAGTGTGAAGTGTGTTCTGGCATTACGTAGATATATGAGGAGAGTGACAAAACACTTTAGCACACATACAATCACTCATCAACTATCTGTTGGCAATTTGGCTGTGTTGTAGATTAACTATGTACGGATGTAGAGACATTGGAGCGCTCTCTGCGTAAAACAATCAAAGGTTAGGCTGGATATACCAGGTTTATAAAATCCTAACATAAGAAAGCACATGCTTTAATATAAAGATGCACAGTTAAAATACTGAACTTAAGAAATAATATCATGTCATAAAATGAATGATGACTGAAAGAACATCAGCAGTTTTTCCTCTTTCCTTTGGAAATCCTCAGCTTGATACTCTCTAGTATTACGTATTTTGTTTCACCAAAGGTATAGTGGCAGCAGAGTCTGAAGTTAAACTCACACAGAAGAAAACATTAAATCTAAACCGAGGAATTCTGCTGTTCAGGGAAGTTTGCTCTACAGTGAAATTATTTTGGAGTTTTTGGAAGATAATTTTAACCGTATGCTCAGGTTTTCCTGAGACCACCAATTACTACCCATCTGTGTAAATGATTCAGATTATGTCAAACCAACAGAAGATTACAGTAATAGAGGTTTATGTAGAAAGAGTAACGTGTCACGTACAATCAAAGAACTGAGTTGTTCCCCATTGGAATCAGGGGTGACCTGAAGTCTTCTGCTCAGTTCCTCAGACAGCTCCTGAGGACTGGTACGGGATACTGGAGATGCAGGAGGCGGCGGCAATGACAAGCTTAAGGAATCTCCACTCGCACTCGCCTCCTCTGAAATGGTTTCCCAAGGCTAACAAAAGAGAAGAAACTACGTTAAGGATTTATAAAGCCAGACCGAGTCTTCTTTCCCTTTGCCTTCTATGTGACCACTTCATCGGGAGCCTTAATATTTAAGGAATTACGCCAATCCCTAGACCACACAAACAAGCATTCTACTCAGTGTGAAGTAGTCACAGGGAAAAACAGTTTTCATGTTGACTTCAAAACAATCTTCATGTTGATGATGACACAATGCTTTATGATTCAACACAGAACACGATGTAGATGAATAGATGCATAAAAAAGATCTCATTAAATGAATTCCATCTGAAATTTTGTTCAAAATGTAACCAATTCTGCAGTCTTACTAAAAACTTGAAAGAAACTGTCAATTTTAATTTAGAATGAAATGCATAATAGAAAGTACTCAATTAGTATCTGCAAATCAAATATTAACAGGTGACAAATGCAACAATTGTTTCAGCAATCTATTTGTTACTCTGAATAACAATCAGTGAACCAAAACTAGCTTTCACAAAGAATTTTGTCTGTGATTCACATAATAAAATATTCCCTAAAGATGAATGGGATCAGAGCTTTGCACAAACTCCCACTTAAGCCTACAAATATCTACCAAATTTTATTTAGTCTAGCTATAAATTAAACAAACACTCACCCTGATTAATAAGATTTCAGAATTCTAACTAAACCCAAGTGTTTTGGGAAAAAAGCCAACAGCTTCTCTTTTCTCTAAATCAAGACACTGAAGGAAACTGAAGTACATGGCAGTTCCAGTCAGTATGTTTCCCTTCTTTTTACAACTTATTCCAGTTATTCAAAGTAGAATATTGAAAGTGTTTCTATCAATGTATTTATAACAAGCAATGCTTGGAATTATAAGTGTTTCTCCCAGCATTTGCGTAGTATTTAATATTGTGCATCTGCTATCAGACACCCACAAATGTGTTGGACCTTGAAAGTATAGCTCTGTTGAGGATTTTTATTGTGTCACTGGTATTTTGCTAAACCAATTTCCACAAACACCATGTAAAAATGTTACTATGTACGTTGTATAGTAATTAGCTTACAAACAAGAAACACATCAGCTTGAAGTTTAGTCAACTTCTTAAACCCAAGACCTTTACGTACCTCAGGAATGTCTCCACTCTCCACAGGTTCTGGTTCCAAATCCTCACTGATGTGTCTCCGAGAGCGGAACCGCCTATGGGCTGCTTCTTGGTTTATTTGTCTGATAGTGTTATCTGAATCAGATCCCACATCACTGGGTAGTGGGGAAATGAAAGTATGTGAGGAGAAAAGAACAAGAAAATAATGAATGTTAAACTAAAACACCTGCTTTGTCCACTGCTTTCAAACCCTCATTAATGCTTTTGATTATAAAAATCATTATTCTTGCCCATGTCAGGCTTCATAAATGGAAGACTGTTTAATCCCTCAATCCAGAGTAAATTAAAGTGGAAGCACTTCACGACGTCATAGAATCATAGAATCACAGAATACCAGCTTGGAGAGGGACCTCAAGGATCCTCTGGTCCAACCTTTCTGAGCACAAGCACAGTCTAGACAAGATGGCTTAGCACCCTGTCCAGATGAATCTTAAAAATGTCCAATGTTGGGGAATCCACCACTTTATAAATCTGATCATAAGAAATATACAATGAAGGCTTGAAGAGGAACTCCACAGTAGCACAACAAGTGTACATAGGTAATGCAGTCTATACCTGAATAATAATCAGGATCTCCTTGGAGCTGATCAGTTTAACTTAATTAAAGCTTAATAGAGTTGATTTTTTTTTCCCCTTACCTTTTCAACAGTGTCTACAGAAGAAAGTAATTTATTCCTGTTAAATTACTTCCTGAAAAATTTCACATCTGCTTCCCAATATTCTAAGGTATGTTGTTAATGTACTGACTTCCCTCCCACCCCTTCAGATTTCCTAGAGTTTCCCAGAATACTTATATGTATATGTGATTTGCTGTACAACTGTGAAAATTTTTGCATGAATAAAGTATAGTTTCAGATATGTAGCACAGCACCAAAATCATGATTAATCTGTTACTGAATAGTGTGCCTTTATAAACTGCTTCATAAAAGTCTTGCTTAAGACCTTTTCCAGCCTTGAATTTGTAAAGTCAAAATGGTTATGTTAGTTGAAAAAAATCACTACCCTTACTTGTAATTTTGCACACATCCACAAAACACTGCACTCCACTGCCACTTACATTAAACTTGGTCGATGCCATTGAGTAGTCCTGTTGTTATGGTTGACATAGTAAGTTCGCCCCAGGTTGTCCACCTTTTCTTCCCATCCAGGAGGCAACGGAGGAGGTGGTAACTCCTCCTGACGTTGAGATGCGGAGTCATTGGAATCAACCACATCCCATCCATGCTTAGGAGTGAAAAAAAAAAAAAAAAAGAATTAAAATTTTAAAGTTCCAGTCAAAGAGAAGCTATTTCATTGTTGCTAATATTAGTGTATAGGTGCAGGTTCTGAATTTTTTCCACAGAGAAGTTCAAAACTACTTCAATGTAAACCATACAGAAATAAACTCCACGGTTACAGTGTGCACCTCATTTCACTGACAAACCCCCTAAAAATCCCATCAGCTTGTTGCAAGAGGGATTCCCAACCGTATTTGGGTGGTTACTTGTTCTAGTAGAGGCTATTAGTAAGGCAAACGTGGGCTGACATTCACTTTGCCAGCCCTAATTGCAGCTAATTCTGAAAACAGATGATGGCTGATAGACTGCCGAGAAGTATTTAAACCTGCTGTGCTTGCATGAGCTTTATTCTCTGCAAAGTCAACGCTGCCAAGGAAATAAAGAAAAATGTTACAACACCTATTTTGAAATGGCCTCTGAAGAAGAGGTACCTAATACAGACCATTATATGTTTACAAGTTACTTGCATAGACTTTCTGAATTCTTCTACTTGGCATGACTTCCACTTCTACTTGCTCACAAACTGAATCAGACAAACTTTAGAATTCATTGTGGCAGCTGAAATACTTTGAAATACTTGAAATGGTTGAAAAAATATCAGGTTAAAGTAAAGCTGGAGAGGGGGAGGAGAGTAAGCTGCTACTTACACTGCTACCAGGGTTTTCTCTTTCAGAGTACAACTTTTTCTACAACTACATTTGAATCTCTAATAACTTGAATGTTTTCACAAGCATTAAGCCTTACCTCAGATTCATCCCTTTGATCATTGTTATCTTCCTCTTGGCCACCATTTTTAGGCATATAAGCCATCTTCAGTCTCAAGAAACCCTTCACACGAGATTTGTGGCTAGAAGACAAGGAGGTACATTTCATTCAACAGCCCTTAAAATAGTTGCAAATAACAAACCTTGAAGTAAGAAATGTTTTAAAATACAAAGGTCCTCCCCCTCACCTTCTTGGTCTGAGAAGGAAATCCTTAAATGTGTATGGCCTTTCCATGGTTGGGTCTTCAGTCTATAAGCATTTAAGAAAATGGCAAATTAAAGGGCTTGCCCACAAGCACAGAGACATATAAAGAACATTTTCATATCACAGATGCGGTAGAAACGCTAGAGAAGACGTTTAAATACCGCGTGACCCTTGGATGGTAAAGCACAGCTGCAGCACGGCCCACTCGCTGTCCCTGCGAAGGTCAACGGCTGAGCCACCTCCTGCTTGGCGGTGTACACAACACCCACAGTCAGAAAATGGAGGAGAACACCAACTAAACTCCTTCAACATTTTCCAGGCACACAACAGCAGTGTCAGAAAGGTTGCATCTATTTTGAAATAGTATTTTTTTCTGCACGTTAGAAAGCAATGAAGTAAAACTCCTCAGGTGGCTTTCATTTTTATTTCATAGCAGTTGAGACTTCCAAAAATAATTAAGACTTTGAAATCTTTTATGATGTACATAAGGAATATTATCAGGCTGGCAGATTACATCTTCTGATGAAATTCTATTCCATTTAAGTTTCATAAAGCCTTAAATCTTGAAAACTTTCTATTACACAAGAATTTCAGCTTTCTTATCAAGTAAAGTTACATCCTTCATGTCTGCAAGAACACGGATGCTGTAAGTACAAAACTAGGAATTTAAAAATGACAAGGTAAATAAAAGAATAAGAAATCCATATACCTATTTAATCTGTTGATTGTTTGGGGTACTTTTTTCTAATCGATCGTATGATTTGGGCTGACAAAACTGGAGGCATCAACTGTTTTACATTGGCAGAGCAAGCACATCATCATACGCAGTCCAGTAAGACTAGAGATCTACTACCTCGGCTTAACACCAAACTTTCTTAAAAAGAGCACTAAGTTAGCAGGTACTTCTCAGAATGTTGTACCCGTCTGCCATCCATTAAAAAAATGATAGTATTCTCTAAACCTTTCTAAACACAGAACAATCTAACTCCCAGACTATTCCTCATTGAAAGCTTTGTTTTCTGTTGCATTTCGAAGTCAATAAATAAGAATTTAAAAATCAATCCTAACCCATTAGCTCAGATACTGTATCAAACACCATACAGACATTCTTTTCACTGACTGAACTCTCAGCCTGCAAGGCATTTCCTGCACTGAGTGTCCACTTAATCTGTGAGGCATAGACAACCCCCTTTTTCAGAGAGTCCATTTTAACCAAACCAACAGGACATCAAAGCATGCATGATGAAGCACTGCTTTTTAGTATTCAGCTGTCAGTAACATACACAAAATAAGAAGCTGTATATTTTTACCAACTTTTGTAGATAGTAATTAGAGAGAGAGAAAACAAGGATTTTGACAAACAAATCAGCAGTACTGCTAGAATGAGAAAGTCAATGTTTGTTAATAAATACACCACAATGTCTCTTATTGAGGTACTGGAAGAATGAATGAGGACAATATTGAGTAGAACACAGAGATACACAGTGTGTTTCCCAAGCAGCAAAAACTAGTACACACACCTTAATAAGCATATTAATAACTATTATAGCAGCGTATGCAAACACACTGGTAAGCACCCTGTGGACACACTGCTACAGTACAGCTATAGAACGAATGACTGTTCTGAGATACGCATTGTGAGTTTTCCCACAGGAAATTTTCTGGGGGCTTCTGGAGCTGAAGAAATTCTCTATGAAGATGGAGAGTGAGGAAGGGTTTTGTACAGGAATCACATTGACTTTCTAGTGAGCCTAGAAGGAAATGGGAAGCTCTGGACTGCAACATTTCATCATTTTAACATAATGGATTTTATTCTTCAATGGCAGTTAAGTAGCTGATCTGCGAAATTTTACAATCTCGCATTTTCTATGTAAAGACAGACTTTAAAACAAATTGAAAAACTTTAGCCTTCCACTCAAATATGAGCTAGAAAGAGACACGCATGCTCATGTTCTCTGCAAGTCCCCAGTGAGACGAGAGTTGTTCTCTTCCTACAGAATACGGAAGGAAAGCAGAAAGCTGCTAATTTCTCAAAACAGCTCACAGAAAGTGACATGTCTATAGCTCTATCTCAAATCTTGCTGATGATTTTTCATTATTAAAAATAATGTTTACTAAAAAGGAACTTCAAAATACTAGCTGACTCTGCAAAACAGGCATGCACTAATACGTTCCTCATCATTTTATATTCCACAGTACATTGTCTGCAGAGGACACGTAGCTTAACACCAGAGGACTTTTTCTACAGTTATATCCAGGCTACTTAGCTAATGTCTGTGCATATGGATACACGCAAGTTTTCCATGCATTTGCTGAAGCAAATCCTACACCACCTCTTGGTGGTTTTTTTGTTTTTTTTTACACAGAAGTTTTCTCGGAGCATAGATGTCCATCCCTTTCCACGCAAATCTGATGCAAACCAGCATAACACACCTCCATGTCACCACTTCCAATGATAATGCAAGCTGGTAATTGAAGTCATGAATATGTCTTTCAGCAGTGGTGCTGACTTTTGGAGTCTCCCCTCTGGTGATTATTCCTGCCTCAAAGCAGTACAGTTGTTTGCATGGCCATTTCATAAACTGGACCAAGGAAACAGTACGAGTTAAAAAAAAACCTATCCAAAACTAACTAGTTACGAGTAACACAGATCTAGTTCACGAGGTGAGCATGAAAGCCAGGATAATTAAGCAGGCAACAAGAGGGTGTGAATTAACAGCGGGGTCTGCCCAAGCAGACATCACTGCTTACAGAAATGTGCACTGAACTGCATACCCAGGAGACGGCGAAGCCAGTACCTACAAAACCCGGGTCTGCACCCACAGTACGTGTGTCTACTGTGAACAAAACCTCTCCCTCTCCTAGTCAGAGTTCATAACCTACGAGGAGAAGCAAGCAGCCAGGCACATGCTGGCCCAACGCAGTGCTGCTGCAGCTCTCAGCTGATGCGCTCCAGTCATCTCACAGCTCATCTCTTACGTGTAACAGAGATGCCAGATGTTAAGTTGTCATATCTCAGAAAGTAAGACTTTACCTGTCTGTATAGAGTGAGGTACCTGTACAATGATATGTTTGGTGTTTCAGAAAACATCTGTAAATGACACTGAAAGCAGGCATCAACCCAAGTATTTAAACTCTAACTTTTTTAAAAAATAGAAAAAACCCCTCCAAGTATCAGCTTCTCTAGTTTAAAACTGGGAAAACATCCAAAACACATACTTTCCTATCATGTAGGAAGGGCAACAGGCACGTACATGCCTCTTACAGAAAAACATCTATACGCATATAGACATTTGAAGTTATAGATATGCATATTAAAAACTGTAATGTATGCTCTGACAATATCACAGCTTGTATAATTATTATTATCAATAATGTCTAATGTCAATGTCTAATGAATGTTGTTGCATGTGCAATGGCACTCATGAGTATCTCTCTATTTCCATTATTACTTAGGAGTCCTTCAGGTAAGTTTGCTTTCAATCAGTAATAAAAACAATAATTTTACTCAAATTTGCTATGAAGATCAGTAACTTTATAACATCTTCAGAAGAAACAAATCTTTGTAACTTCTTAAGATGCTGTCACGCTGGTTCATGTTCAGCAGTTTCTCTGGTTTCAGTCTGTGGCTATTGCCTTTACAAGGTTTGAAGTAACATCAAAGCGTACTATCCACTTTCCTAGACAGAACCACTATCCTATACCCTTAACAGCATATTATTTAGACAGAAAATCAGACAGATAAATGGGACCCAAAAAATGTCTTTTTTTCAATTTTTTAACAAAAGTTCTGGAGGAAACAGAGTTTTCTAGGGGAGAATACAGCTGGTTCAACCATAAGGGAAAATCATGAAAAGGAAGAAGCCAGAAAATTAATAGGACAATAATCACCAACGGTAAGGTGAGAAACCACCAGTCTATCGGCCATATGTCATTTGTGAACTGACTCTGACAGACAAGGGTTTTTAAGAAAGAATCAGGATGAGAAGTGAATCTTGGATGTTGAGAAATTTAACAGATACCAGAGAACAACTGTGTTCGTTCTCCCTGCAGAAGGAACCATTTCTCACAATTCCTGTGCATGGAGGGGCTTCATTGTCTATAACGTTGTTCTTTAAGCCTGTAATGCTATGCTGGGAATGCTCGCTTCAAGAAAATTTAACTGGACTACTTATGGAAATAAATTCCACACAACTTGGGGATTTTCACATCTGGTGATGACAAAAAAGAACACACTGAGACAAAAGTACTGCTTACCGGAAGGTGACTAAGCGGCACATCCACTTGACCCAGGAAGTCGTCTCTAGTCTGTCAAATAGGAAAAAAAGGCAGAAAAAGGAGTAATTTTACATCAGAAGAGGAAAAAAAAAACCACCAAAAAACATCAATTCAGTCACAATGAAACAAAAATAAATGGTTTAGTACCACTATTTTAGCAATTACTCCTTTCCACCTCTTCATTGTTGTACATTGTCTGTTGTTATAATTTATCTGTTTCAGCAGAGCATTTTCTGTGACAGCCCAAAATGGCTTCTTAGTCCACAGTACGTGTGTTAAGTACTGACAAAATTCAAAGCACAAAGTATTAATCTACTCTTTCCATGAATTAGTCTCCACATGCATTAAAAAAGTGAGTGAAAGTACTGTTCACCATGTCATTGAAATGTTCATGTCAAACCTTGGTGGCTTTTTCTTTTTTAAGGAAAACCTCATATGCACATCTGACAGGGAAAGAAGGGGAACCCAACAGTGAAGATAGAACTGGATGAATTGTAAACATTTTCCCCCCAATAAAAATGTGGTTTATGACTTTATCAAACAGAAACCAAAGTATTACAACTTTTGGGTTTTTTTAAAGACTGCTGTTCCATTAATTCAGAATGCTTAATTTGTGAGGAACAGTTATACACCCTTCTAACCAGTCTTTTGAGTAATCCTGTATTTCCCACTTGAAGACTCGACAGTTCAAGTTAAGCATGCGGATGTGGTTATACCGACATTTGGGCCATGCAGCGCCATCACAATTTCACTTATGCACAGTTATGGCCATATAGAAGTGATAAACACTACTTTTCTGCAGGTGCTTCACTCTGATCATCACCTTCTCTCAGAGTGTCACCTGAAAAGCAGAGTTGCACCGGTATCTTTTATTGTCAATTAATCTACATCTCAGGGGCGAGTTTTCTTTAAAATGTGGCTGTTACTATCCATTCAACACATCCCTGCGCAAACCAAAAGTGCAGGCCATGTCCCTGTTTGCATCACATACATGGATCAGCTGATCTTCCCTGCTGGTAATTAATAGAGGGAAACCCAGAAATAAAATCAATAAAAAGCATAGACAGTTCAGTCAGGCACTGCGTGGAGAGATTCCTTCCTGTCTCTTCGCGCTCTGTTACCTCAAAAGGCCATGCGTCTGAGTAGCTTACTGGTGTTATAAAGTACCCCAGAACGTGACAGAGTACTCACACACTGAAAATGAATCCAGTCACATGCTCCCATCCAAACAGAGTTCATAACAAGAGTCAGACCACAGGCAGCAGTGTACTGGCCTGGGATGCCAGGCCCAGGTGCTCTCAAGTGCTGTGAAGGGAAGGGGTACTGACTGGGCCAACGACATGCAGAAGCCATGCAGACACCAGATAAATACTCCAATTTCTCCTCTATTAACAGTTCACCTTTCTGATACCTTTTCATTGACAGGTTTGCATCTCACTGAACTGAACGCACAGTGTGCCACACTGGACAAAATCTAGGGGAGAGTATCTTCAGAGCTGTATGAGATTTCCCATATGGTAGTGATGTGAATGTGCTTAAAGATGGCAGTCATCTTAATCTACTCATTGATTATGATTGTCATTTGCTCGTTTACAATGGCAATTCACTGTTATAGTGACTCAGATTAAGATTCTTTCCTTCCTTCCTGTGACAAAAGTCATTAAAAACATGGCAAAAACCCCAACAACCCAGAAACTCCACGAAACCACTGAGAAGCCCTAGGCGTTTTCTGTCAAAGGGAGAGGCTGTGGGGAGACAGTCCCAAGCCTCCCTTTGTGACACCAGGGGAACTGGGCAGCTTCTGGGCCCTGTGGGTGAGACAGCTGGACCAGGGGCCGTTCCTCTGAGCCTTCACCAGAAGCAGCCATCTCCAGCTCTTTGTCCCTCAGGCTCACCAAACGCCTACCCCCAGGGCTGTAAAAGCTCTCCTGAGGTGAGCACAGCCTGGTGGTGACACGCTGCTGTCTCTACACTCTTAATTCCCACCAGCGCCTATTACTTCTTCACAATCCACCCACGATTGAGGAAACCTTTCATCTTACAATAATTTTGGCCTGAAATGTGGCCAACCTTGAAATAAATCACCTGAAACGCAGATACTTCTTCATAAATCGGAACCACACAGACTGTTCTAGACACAGGCTAAGCCCGTGAGGTGGCCGTATGGACAGCTGTCACAGAAGACCTACCCAAAAGCAGCACACAGACAAAACGAGGCCTAGGCTCATCTCTCATGGACCAGACGAGGCTGGTGTGGGCTGGAGAGCGAGACCAGAGATCCCTGCCGCGGGGAGGGCGAGTGGAAAGCTCTGCCGAAGGAACCTTGGGTGGCATGGCCAGGGAGGACCAGGGACGCAGCGCGAGCAGCCCAGGGCCCTGCCACGCGCTCAGGGCAGGAGGCTGGAGGGGACAGTAACCCAGGGACCCGCTGATCAT